ACAAACAGCTTCACAGACTACAGAGTGGGCGTTGAGCAAGCCGGAACCTACAGAATCGTGCTTGACACCGATGACAAGGAGTTCGGTGGCTTCGGTCGTAATCTCAAGGAGACGCGCTTCTTCACGACAGACCTGCCTTGGAATAACCGCAGCAATTATCTGCAGGTCTATATCCCAACGCGAACAGCACTGGTAAGTGCAATCGAATCCATTTACCAAGACTCACTATGCTAACATTAATGTCAAATTATAGGTTCTTGCCTTGGAAGAGACCCTATAGGTCGGGCTCATGTAGTTCTCCTGACATTTCCACACGGCTAAAGCCACTGTATTCAGACAATTGCAGCATAACCCTAGGGGATAATATGTGTGAATAAGCATGCACCACTCATTGTTCTGTTTTGAGTTAGTCTATAGCGTCTGTTAATGTCCATTCTGCATTCTATCATTTACTCCTTCGGTATTGTACCATGATATTTCAGTCATTTATAATTTCATTATATAAACTAGTACCATTAAGCACACCCTAAACTAATCCCTCCCACTCAGTCTCTCACATTACCGGTAGGACCATATCGCTACTACTTCCCTAGCACTAGTACTCACTCACTACTAGTAGTACTAGTAGCCAGCCGATAATAAACTATTATTTCTACCTACTATATAGAATTGATGATACATAGCACCATCATGGTACAAAGTTCTGATATTACTACTACTACTACCACCACCACCACCACTATGAATTTACCCAGACTCCAGAGCATGATGAACAAACAGCAAATGCACTACTGAGCAATATTGCTCACGAATCATACATAACTCGACCTCGATACCATGATTCGTTGCTAAGCACTAAATATCAGGCCATCATGATAGCTCATCCTGTCCGTGAGTCTATTGCGTTCCTTCAGCCCTTCATTCCGTTATATGAATATATATATCAGAACTTAGGACAGTACTTAGTCGTACTACTAGCTGGCTACTGACTATTCACTAAAATTGTAGCCAAACGGGAGTAGTACTATCTGAATTAACATGAGGATGATACTAATTGTTGAGATGGTTGCAATGCAATTGAGGTATTTATGGGATATACGTAGTAGAACGGTGATGCTATGGCAACGAGATGTTGATACGTGTCCTAGAAGGGACGTTATGATTTAATATACAGAATCATACAGAACTACACCCTACGTACTATTATACTACTGATGTCTACATTGAAGCAGATATCACGGTCTCCCGGAGTAACAAAGGAAATTGAGTACAATTGTCCCAGCCCAGCGGGTATCAGGCTGACTGTGGTCATTTTAACTTACTTACATGAGCACGTAGTGTAACACAAAGCCTGGAAGTTTCCATCCAGACTTTCAGAGAGGTGTACGTTAAGAGCGCTCTCATCCTTTTATATAGGGGGGACCTCGCCATTCTTTCAACTCCCTTTTCTCAATTCGAGTACTGTACACGGATCGGTAGAAAACGGCACATGGAAGAAAGGAAGTCCATGTCTAACAAAAAAGGAAAAGGGCGCTTAAAAACAATATTACATTTAGGCCTTGTTCTCGAGCTCGGCCAAGATCTTCTCACCCTTGGCGCGGGCAGACTCGAAGTCACCAACCATGTAGAAAGCAGCTGTAGAAAAACGAATTAGCATCCATGTTAGTCAACAAATTAGAAGATCAAAAGATTTTAACTTACCCTCAGGAAGGTCGTCACCCTCACCGTTGATGATGGCCTTGAAACTGCGGATGGTGTCCTTGAGGTCGACCAGCTTACCCTCGATACCAGTGAAGACCTGGGCGACGGTGAAGGGCTGGGACAGGAAACGCTGGAGCTTACGGGCACGCTCGACGGTGAGCTTGTCAGCCTCAGACAGTTCGTCCATACCCAGAATGGCAATGATATCCTGGAGGGACTTGTACTCCTGGAGCATCTGCTGGACACGGGTGGCGGTGTTGTAGTGCTCCTCACCGACGATACGGGTGTCGAGCATACGGGACTTGGAGTCGAGAGGGTCGACGGCAGGGTAGATACCCAACTCGGAGATACCACGGGACAAGACAGTGGTGGCGTCCAAGTGAGCGAAGGTGGTGGCGGGGGCAGGGTCAGTCAAATCGTCAGCAGGGACGTAGACGGCCTGGACGGAGGTAATGGAACCCTTGGTGGTGGTGGTAATACGCTCCTGCATACCACCCATGTCGACGGCCAGAGTGGGCTGGTAACCGACGGCAGAGGGGATACGACCCAGAAGGGCAGACACCTCAGAACCGGCCTGGGTGAAACGGAAAATGTTGTCAATGAAGAGCAGCACGTCCTGACCCTCCTCGTCACGGAAGTACTCGGCAATGGTCAAACCGGTAAGGGCGACACGGGCACGGGCACCCGGGGGCTCGTTCATCTGACCGAAGACCAGAGCGACCTTGGAGTCACCCTCGAGCTGGATGACACCAGTCTCCTGCATTTCGTGGTACAGATCGTTACCCTCACGAGTACGCTCACCGACACCACAGAAGACGGAGTAACCACCGTGAGCCTTGGCGATGTTGTTCTAGAGAATTTGTTAGTTCTACGGGTCACAAAACCTCCGTTTCATGGATTGGCAACTTACAATCAGCTCCTGAATGAAGACGGTCTTACCGACACCGGCACCACCGAAGAGACCAATCTTACCACCACGGGCGTAGGGGGCAAGCAGATCGACGACCTTGATACCAGTGACGAGAATCTCGGCCTCAGTGGACTGCTCAACGAACTCGGGAGCCTCAGTGTGAATGGGACGGAACTTGTCGGCCTTGACGGGACCACGCTCGTCAATGGGGTCACCAGTGACGTTGAGGATACGGCCAAGGGTGCCGGGACCGACGGGGATGGTGATGGGAGCACCGGTGTCACGGGCGGCAGCACCACGGGTCAGACCCTCAGTACCTGTGGAACATTGATGTTAGCCACGGCGAGACGAGTACACGTGGAAGGACCAGGTTAGAGAGAAAGCGGTGACAAGAGAGGTTGATATTGCCAAGCAAATCTCTATTTTCCTGGTCATGGGAGAGGGAGGAAGCTTACCGTCCATGGCAATGGTACGAACGACATTCTCACCCAAGTGTTGCTAGATTGGGTTAGCTATCAGAGCTTGATGTCATTGTAGCTTCGATTTTTTGGTGTACATACAGAAACCTCAAGGACGAGCTTCTGGCCACCGTTCTCGGTCTCAATGGCGTTGAGAATGGCAGGGAGCTTGTCACCGTCGAACTTCACTGTTGGCGAGAGTCAGATATCGTGTTCATTTGATGGCCATTGAGTCGAATTTGATGGGATTGTGGATGGAATCGAGGCTCGGAAAAGATTTTCGCGTAGCCGCCGGCAGGGTTTTCTCTGGAACGGGGGACCGGCACATACCGTCGACGACGGCACCAATGACCTGGTGAATCTTTCCAACGGAAGAGGCCTCAGTGCTGGCCATACGGGCCAGGGAAGGGAGGCCATTGGTCTTAGGCTGGAAAGCGCGACGGGCGACGGAGGTAGGTCGGGCAAAAGCAGCCCTCCCGAAGGTCCGGGCAAGACCGCTGTAACAAGGGGGAAAGAAATGGTTAGTTGCAAGCCTTTAAAAGGATTTAAAGGTAGATAAAAAATTATCTTAAAATGTAAAAGGTTGGAGTAGGGATCCGGGGAAGTATAGTCACACACCTCTTGAACATCTTGATGGTGTTGAAGAGCGAAATGGGGTAAAGAAAAGGTCAAAGGGACGAGAGGATGGGGAGAGGGAAGAAAGAGGGAAAGGAAGGGAAGAGGTTGAGGTTGAGGTGGACACGGGCGAATGTGTCCGGCTTAGCCTTTCCGGGGCGGTTTTGCCGACGATCCCGTGATGTACCGAGCAACGCGCTGGCCAGCATGGTAACCAGCTTTCAGCTCGCCGACATTCACTAGGAGGTTCTACTATGGCGACCGCATCTTTACCAGTCCATTCTGCAGAATCTAAAGACACCCATATGTCCGTGATGCTGGCGGTCGGGGCGTTGATTCGATACTGGGAGCAATTCGAGCTTTCCCACCTTGCCCTGTTTGGTTGTTAGGGGGAAATTCGCACACAAATGGGGATGGTCTTGGCGCCCGGATGCACTGGGAGGAAGGTGGTACCCCATCCAAAATAATACTAATACAGACTACTTTTCTTTCCTTTTCTTCTCTCTCTCTTTTTTTTTATGGTTAAGTAAATATATATAAAAATAAAAAGAGAGCTAGCTATAATTAATAAAATAAAAATACATCAACCAAAAAAAATAAAACTTTATATACGGTGAATTTTTATAATATTCATAAATTCATCATAACAACCAACTCCGAGAAGTACCTCCCTTTCCCCTCACATCTGCAAAGCGCTCAAGCTATTTCTTTCGTGAGGGGGGTTGGGGCCTCTCCCTACAACAAGGCAAGTTGTTCTTTCGCTGTAACGGAAGGGCAGACCGACGATATCGGACGAACGCTGCTGTAACGAAAAAAAATCTGACGTGTTCCCGTGATTACCCTTTCGGGGGTCCCAGCTTGGTTTTGCGGTGTCTCGACGGTAAACAACCGGGCGACCGTGCATTTTCACTTTAGGATCCAACCAACCAACCCAGCCACCACCACCCATTGATTCCTGAACATGGAGTAGATACATTACTGTGGTTATTTTTATATTTTATTTTTCATTATTGTTATTACTGTTATTGCTCTTTTAATTTTCTAGAGGAGCATTAGACTGTGCATTTCGAACTGTGACAGCTCTCTTCCGGTTTAACTTGAACCACCGACTTACCGCCTCTCTACCGAACAGTGGCTCCGAACCTTCCCATTTCTTTGCCCTGCCCAGCAGGGAATATCAAAGTAACGTCATCTTGTATGTAATCACCTGTACAGTGATCATCGTAGCATTCCCATCCCCTATACATTGTAAGCTTTTTCTAGAAAAGCATTAGTTTAAGATATAGCACGCGTCAATTTCTAGCTACAGAGAGGAGTCTACAATTTCCTTATCCCACATACTCTACAGCATTTACAGGAGTAACACGAAAGAACCTGCAGTCTGATCTTTCTATGGCTACAAAGGAGATAATTGATTATTGCACAGTACGAGATACAGAGGTCTTTTTGGGCTAACATTGACAAACAAGTAGAACAGAGGCGAAGGATCGTGTCCAAAATTGATGGGCACAGAACCGGCGTCATCAAAGGTCGTGCGGTGGGAGGCAGCAGTTCATTCCTGTAGCCCAACACTGCCCATCCACTGCACACCCCGTCGTTATACCTGTTCCTCCCGAGGGATGGGGGCAATCTATTGCTTCTCAGCAGGGGGGCTCTGGACGAAGCCCTTGCCCTCGTAACCCACGGAGCTGATACCGTAGATAGGGTTGATGTTCTCTTGCTGTTGTGATGATACGTATCAGCGACCGTTCCACCATGAATACAGTGCCAATTGGCAAGTAAATAATGCAAATAGTCGATTTCACATACCTTGGCATACTCGTTGGAGGCCTCCTGCCACTCCTTGGTCATGGTCTTGGGCTGGGGCTTGGCGAACAAGTGGATGATGTAGAAGATACCAAAGCTGACAAGGGTGAGCTGGGCGACCTTGAAGAAGATCTTGAGGTTCTCGCCCTTGGGGGGCACAGAGCGAGGGCCGTGGGGTCCGAAGGAGATCCAGTAGGCTAAATCGTGGGGAAGAAGAAAAAAAATACCCATGTTAGCAAAATTCTGCTGGACGCGGGGAAGATAGCGGAAAGGGGCAAGAAAAAGCAGCATACCGGCCTTCTTCTCCTGGAGAGTCATCTGGTGCCAGTCGACCTTCATGCGGTCCCTCAGCTGCATCCACAGCTCGGCCTGCTCCTGAGGGGGCATGGCCTCCCAGCGCTTCTCAATACCGGCGAGTGTGGGATTCGAGATGGCATGCTCGGAGGCGGCGCGGGTCTGCTGGGGAGCGATAGACTTCTTCTCAGTCTGAGGACGAGCGTTCAGGCAAGCCATTGGGCCCGAAACGGTGCGGTAGGAGCGCAGGCCCGTGGTGGGCACAGCCGAGCTGCGAGCAGCAGCGCGAGTAACGGAACGAAGGAACATTGTGTGCTAAGGGTGTGCGCGCGTATTAGAATCAATTGATCGCCAAAAAGCAACTCTCCAGCAGCGAGAGGGCCGATTCGTCGGAATTCAAGATGGGAAATACCTGGGGTAGAGTGGAGGGGGGTACCAAGAGTCGCGATGGGAGACGAAGACGACGTTCGACTTGTGGTTTGAGGTGGAAGTCGAGTATCCGGACAGGCTAGCTTAGTCCGTTTTACCGCCGCCCTCATTGGTCCACGCCCGCTACCCGTCCCGACCGTCCGCCATGGCTTTTTGCCCCCAAGACACATCTTACGATGATGTTCCCATTTCCCGTCAGCACCAGAATTCTCCTATAGGGTATAGTTATACTACTAGTATAATCTAAGGCTAATCCGTCTTGTCTTCTAGGGCGTCCCTTCCCATTTATCCTCGGCGCCTTACCTTCCCTACATCTAGTCAACGCTGACCAGCCGCCCTTTCATCAATCCAAGAACCAAGTGATACTACATACTACCTACAACTCATACTGCCTGGCCGGCATTCCTTCTCAGCACTCAATAGTCGAGATAGCCTATTTCACACGAATATCAGACCTAAGCACTCGACTGAAAGCACAGTTTTGGGGGGTTCGTTGTGTGCAGGGTGACCTGATGTTTCTACTCTACATCGAATCGCGTATTCACACATCATGGCACGTAACAGTATTCTGTACAGACAAACGCTGATAAAGAGAAAGAAAATCCCCTCCCCAACATTCGTTCATCATTGGAAAAAAAGGAAAAGTGCCACGATCGCAAGTTGATACGGTCACTATCAAAAGAAATCAAGTCGTAACGATCTCTCATTTAACTAAGTTTGTGCAGAGAAACTGAAGAAGTTGGTCGTTCCGAGGTACTCCGCAAAGTGAGTCAGTGTGATGTGTTGCAATTTGCAACAACCAAGTCACCTGGCCCGGGCCCAGCCGGCGCCATTGTTTATTTGCCAGCCTTACCACCGCTGGCCTCGGCCAGGACGGTCTTCCACTCGATATCGCCCTTGTCGTCGGCGTGGATAGAGGTGTGGATGTTGAGGGCGTTCTTCAAGTTCTCGCGAGTGCTGGCGTAGATCATGGACCACTAGTTCATCGGTGTCAGCAATGATTTGGGGCTTAAACAGCTGAGACGGTGCGAAACGTACGAGGGTAGGGGTGTCGCTGGGAACCCAGGAAATGAAGATGATCTTGCTTCTGTGGTGAGAAGAAAGTGAGCAGATATCCTAGCACGGACGTTAAGCCATCGCCATCATCATACCTCTTGCCTTCACCACCGCCCAAGTCGTACTCGACGTCGTAAACTGCATAACGGGGAGCGGGGTTGCCCTTAGCATCCTTAGCGGCCGCGAGCTTTTCGCGGAAGACCTCGTAGTCCTCGTCCTGGGAGACCTCGTCGATGACGACCTCCTTCTTGTTGTCGGCGATCTTGAAAATGATGAACTTCGTCTTGCTTCCCTTGCTGTTGCCGCTCATGCGGAACTCGTTGAATGCGGTGATGCACTCATCGGTGATAGAAACACTGCCCTCCGTAATTCAGTCAGCCTTGTTCGGGGTTGCCATCGTCGAGTTCTCCGATACGGTAGGGATGTTCGAAGACACATGCGGAGATTTGGAGCAGTCAGGAACATACCCAGATGCGAGCTACAAAACGGGGAAATAAACGGTTAGCCCTGAGCGGGAAGTACAAGATGGATTATTACTCACAGACATGGTTGTTTATGTGGATAAAGGGGTGAGATGGAAAAGAGGTAAGACGAGTTGACAGACGGATGACCTGCGCATGCACGCGATGTTAGTTGGACGGATTCCCCCTTATTTGTCCTTTGTCATAATCGCAGAATGGTTAAAGAGAAAAGACGGCAAATGAAAAGGGAAAAGTGGCATACGCACCAAGCACCGTTGGGACTGTTCAAATGACTTTTAAAGGGGGTCTGCGAAAGAGCAACGGGGACAGGATGAGGGGATGTAAGAGAGGAATATAACGGGGGAGGATGGATGGGAACCGAGATGGAGATAGAGGGGCATTTAGTTGTGCTTTGCTGGGTTGCTGCTGCGGCGGGCGGCGGCGGTGGGGGGGATGTCTAGCACGTGACCCACCCGTCGCACCACCGGCCGCTTATTTCCCCTTCCCACCCATACTTATTTTCCCCCTGAATCCTGCGGTTATGACGAAATGAGCCTGGACTTTACTATGAGGTTGGGTTGGTCCAGTAGTTACTGTAGGCAGGCGTGACCAACCCATACGCACAACTGTTGGTAATGCACCTGCCTGCACCCTGATGCATGTCAGGCATTTATTCACGGGCTATGACGGTGCGTTGGGGCCAGTGCCTGGTACATAGGCATAGATGGATGACCCAGGCATCTGCGAACCATACCTCGGCGGTCGCTCTCTAAGTGTGGGGGCCTGCTATCTTGGGAGAGATCTATCTAGCTGTAATAATATGTCGACCAGCTAGACTAGCTAGCTAGCATTTCGTAGACGCCTGCCTGCCTTTGTCGGTCTGCTGTTGGCTTTTTCTATTCTTGGTACCTCCAGGCAGACGAATCTTGCTTTACACCGGAAGAATCCGCCGTTGATAGATTACCAACCATGGAACTAGCCCCGGCTAGCCGAACAGTATCACGTCAGGGCATGAACCTGATATATTACAGGCAATGCACATGGCTGTCCGTCATCATCACAAGGTTCATGGTGCCTGATGGCCCAAGTCGGACGCGTGTATATTCTACCTATGCCCTAGCTCCAGTTAGGATGCATCGCATCCATGTGTTCCGGGTACGATCATCGTATGTCGTTATCATTCCATACAGAATGCGTAAAACAGCTACATTTCAGTGTCATTTTCAACCATTCAGAACGTCTATGAAAACACGGTATCAGAATTATCTATACTTCCAGACCGTAAAATTTGCCATCGTTCAACCTGCACGATGGTGAATAGGTAGCCACAAATAAGAATCCCGCTGCCGCACCAATAATCGACATCACTTCGTCCACGAAATGTGTGTACATGGTGGGAACAGGGGCACAGAAGAGGAAAATCGTATGTAGAGATGAAGGGAAGCAAAGGAACGAAAATCCATACATGAAGTGGCAACAAGTTGTTGCAGGAGAATGGGGTATATGGAAGCTCAAAGAATTCAACAGAGAATAAGCGCAAATGACAAACGCATGACATCGTCTCAGGATATCGTCCATGTCAGAAAGGCTTGAGACAGGGTTAGTTGCAAAAAAAAAAAAAAAAAAAAA